TCCCAACTCAATCTTACACATAGGTAGTGGCAGAAAAAGGAGGGAAGGGACTAAAGTACTCAAAGTACAGTCTTCGTTGGTTCTAGAGGGCGAAGCAAGGACCTCTGCCTCATTAAGAAAAAGATTGACGTTGCTCTTGACTATGTAAACAATATATTCGGGCATGGAGTGTTCTCAGCTGTCCATTTATATGTTTGAATAACCCCACAACTCACTTTTAGTATTGTAGCATAGTTCTGTTTGTAGTGTCTAATTATAGAGTTTAGGAACCCTTGCAGTAAAGGAATAAGTAATTACTGGCATAAGCTTTGTATATGAGGATGGTCTCGGTCTATCCAGGTCACATTGTCCGCAAGGCGTTATAGTAAGCTTTTTCTTCATAATGCACAACTGGAAATTCTATCTTTTTTGCCTAGAAATCTTATTATTCTATTCATTTAATATACAAAACATGTATTTTTCGACCTTTCCTTTGTCACCCCAGAATGCCATACATGTTGCTTGAAATGAATGTGATTAGGAGGATGTGCAAATTGGACCTCAGAGTACATACGTAATCGTGAGGTTTCGTTTCGCTTCTTACGTGCTACTGGACATTCATCCGTTAGACCCGAACACTGATTGAACTTGGAAGCATCTATGTTGGCTATCAAGCGAAAGTTCATAATATACAGGGGTATCCCGTAGAATGAACAAGATATATGCACAGATGAACAGATATCAGGCATCGAAACTGAAGAGATCATGCACGCTCAATCGTGAATTGCAAAGATACCTCCCATTTTTGACCGCCAGCGCCATATCCGCCACCCAGCCTGTTGCGAATCAAGCTGGATATCTTCTCGCGTAACCGGACAAGATTATCCTCAGAACCATTGACTCGGAGCTTGAGGTTTGCCATACATAGCCCATAATGGACCTGCCAGAATCGAGCGTCATCGATGCCGAACACAGCAGCGTCGGCTTCAATATCCTTGATGACATCAGAAACTCCTTGTCCGGAGTAGGACATGAGAAGCATGGAACCTAGAGTCTTCACCAAGCGAATTCCCAGGAAACACATTGAGAAGGCAATGGTGCCAGACAGGAGCTTATCGAGCCAATCATAAATCCGGATTGAGACCAGAGGTAAAAGCAGCAGCAGAGTTGAACAAGAGAGGGTGAGGAAGTGGGACGGGTTGCTCAAGACCGATGGAAGAGATTGGATATACCCGAATCGCATAGCCTTCCCAATTCGAGCATGGTTCTTGAGACCAATTGCTGACACAAGCGTGGATGAAATAGCTAGAACTGCAGTCACATCCACGCTACCCAGAGAAACCCGATCATGTTCGTGCGAGTGGTGAGGCTCATGACCAGCCTTTTCGAGGAAATGTTGCAGATTGTGGGAGATGAGATCCATCCCCATAAACAAAAGAAGCACAGCCATCGCAAATCCGGCTAGAACTTCAGCACGTTCAAGTCCGAACGGGTGCCGGATAGTCGATCTCTTCCATACTTCAAAGTTGCCCAGTACATCAACCGCAACGCACAAAAGAGCCCCAAGTGAATCAAATAGAATCAGATGCGACAATGCTGTCATGGCCAGGGAGCCATGTGCGGTCCAGAGTGTGTACGCCGCAACGAACATATGACATAGACTCCACCAGAAGCGGGTCTTTTGGTCCCTGGACATGCTAGATCGGCATTCTTTCAGCGTTGGCATGGGCAGGGAGTTCGGAAGGGCTAGGGGCGCGCGAGGAGGAGGCTCGAGGAAGATCTGGTGCGAGATGCTACTGTGTTTGTACTTGTGGCCACGGCGTTGTCCCATGTTCTGAAACGCGAGGGAACAAGTTAGAACCGCCATCAATAGAGGTCATCAGTGCGATCCAACTCACCGATTTGACCACTGGGCTCTTCGCCATAACAGTAGTGTTGAAATTGAATGGCCCGGCGGGGGATGTGTCGCCCGAACCATTCTCGATCGGTGTCTCTGTATCTTCAGGCGAGATTGCCAGATTGAAAGAGGACTTCGTGGGGCTCAGGGTATCTCTGCTTTCGGCATCCATGATGCCCTTCGGAAAGGAAGCCTTAAGCGGCGATAGGGAATTGCGATCAATGGGTATCCCCGAGTTGATCTGGGAGGCATATTCGTCGTCAGGTGGCGGAGTGGGGGTGCGCGGCGGAAGAGGGAGAGGAAGGTTCGAAGCCATCGCGCTGGCTTTGCCAACAGAATGCCTTTATGAATTGATGGTTCCTATGTACCTACACATGAACACATACATATGTAAGTTCAAGCTGGGGCTATCAACTCCCCGGACGAGCCCCGGTGTTTCTGCCGACCATCACGTGGGCGGCCTGGAGGCACCCCGAAACCTAAAAGTCTTAGCGCATTCCTGTCTCTTAGCCTCTGAATAAGAGATTGAATACATGAGGGTAGGTTCATGGGGATTATTTGTACAAGAAGAGGTGACAGAGTCTCAGCATTTATTGCCAATGGGCTTAAGTATTATTTGATACGAGCCTATGACCTGCAGAAACATGCGCAACTACAAAAGACTTCATTGGTTGTGGTCGTGATACCATAAGCAGGCGTGGGGACCCCCAGGGCTTGTTCCATGCTGAGCGGCCATTTTTCGGACTCCATCTCAATAAAAGCTATATATACACAGAGAGAAGTAGTTCGTATAGTTACAGAATATCGGCCTAACTGTCCAGGCAGATGAGTTTATTGGGGGAGGGCCTGGGTATTCATGGCAAATATCCAAATCCTTGGTTCACTATGGACTAAGCAGCAGACTTCTTGTCTCCTCTCTCCTAGATGTGGTTGTCTAAGAAAGAATCCTTGGAATCGTCAAGACGAAACAGATATGGTAAGAGCGAAATCTGATTGTTTGAAGCAAAAGTCGGGGATATGAATTCCCAGTCATGAAATCATTTTGCTTCGCAACGTTTAGCTCTAATTTTACAAATTTACACTATTTCAATGTATCGCTTCAACTCCCTATAACTGAGTTAGTTTTGCATTTATAGGTAGCACAATATTTCCGACTTACCAATCAGTCACAGCCTCTCTCCACAGACCCAATTCGTGCTGTCTTGTGGCTGTGAAGAAATCTACAAATTCTGAACTCAGAACCTCCCGCGCAATGCTTCCTGGGGCTGAGAAACGGTCCAAGGCCTTGTCCAGAGTATTGGGGAGAAGCTCTGGGCGGTCCCCTGGAGTGCGTACAGACATCGGTGGGACCTTGATCTCGAGCTTTTTCTGTACACCCCTCCAGCCGGCTGCAAGGATGACACTCAGCGCATAATGGGGATGTAGATCAGCTCCAGGAATGCGGACTTCGAAGCGTGTGGCACCTGGCTTGCATACTGGTGGCGTGATAAGACGGATTGAGGCAATCCGGTCCTCGAGCCCCCAGCTAATGTGCACTGGTGCCCAGTAGTTCTCAACGAGGCGCTTGTATGAGTTCACAGTCGGTGCAAACAATGGCATAATATCTGGGAGAGCTTCTAGAAGCCCGGCCAAGAAATGACGTCCTATGTCAGAGAGATGTGCGATGTCGGACCATTGAGGGTTTGCCTCGGGTGTCGCTCTTGCAAACAGGTTCTTCCCACCATTGTCAGCAAGTGAGATGTGGATGTGTCCGGAGCTGCCTGGCATGCCTTGCATGGGTTTAGCCATGAAGCATGGTGTAACGCCGTGGTCAACACCCAGGGATTTGGTTAAGAATCTGTCGACTTGTTAGCTCTGGAAGTAACAGATGATTTGAGGTATTTGCGGCACTCACTTGAATAATGCCACTTTGTCTGCCATTTCGCTAATCTCGGAAACCTTTAAGGCCTGCAGAGTGTCAGAGGGGTTTATGGAAGCACCTAGATGGATGACATACTGCTTCATACACACCGGGCCCGCCCTCAGTGTGCCATCCTTCAATGCCGCAGTTGATCTGCGCACTGGTATTGAAAATATCGTAGAAGTACTTCTTGTTGGCAACCGGTCTCGTCGAGCTATAGCAGAACATGCCAGCTGTAATTGGTCGCAGAGCACTAGGTGCATTTTTCTCTAGGAACGTAGCGAGGTTGGGATGCTGGGAGCCTGCACTGCCGTATCCGTCTTCGGAAGGAGTCTGGAAATTCATAAATTCAAGTTCGACTGTCTGGCATCAGCATTTCAGATTCCTTCGCCAGATCTTCCCGTAACTTACCTCCAGCCAAAGCATGAAGCCCCTTCCCTGCAAGCTTATCGCACAGACTTCTCAACATACTCCTCCCATCCGCGCAAACCGGGCGCGTATCATCAAGAAATCGCACTAGAAAGAACGGAATATTTTCTTCCCAAGGTAGACGGCGGAACGAGTTCAGATCTGGAATAGCCAGGAAGTCTGCGTACCCTGATTCCGGGGGTGCGACACGTGCATCGGTTGTCCATAGCATATCGTGCATATCCCAACCGAAAAGAGCTGAGCTGAAACCGAATCCCTTTTCCGCAATCCCAAGGAACTTCTCCTTGGCCATAACCTTGCCACGGAGCACGCCATCGCTGTCGATACCAGCGACTTTGACTTTGATGTCGTTGGCGAGAAGGTTTGGGAGTGATTCGACAGTGATCATGGTGGGTGTGGTCATTCTGAGGAAAATTCAACGAATTGCAGCAGGACTAATTGATCGAGTCCAGCTTGAGGTTTGAAATGGAAGAGACATTTCCGCCAGCCCCTGTGGCTTTATACAATTGCGTGAATAGTGGGTTGCTGAGGTTGCGGGTCCAACATGTGGTCAACATTAATGCCGCGCATTTCTCAGGTCGAAAATAATCCCGCGCGGTGCAGAGGATAGACGGTAGCGCGTAACATCTTTACGCGCAAAACAATGGACGTCATCGGTGAAGCTATCATCGGATGTTCTCTCGGAGATGCTCCGCGGTCCGCGCTGTGGGGTTCCCAGTTCACAGCGCGCTTATCCGCGTGTTGCAATGGTACAAAACTTGAGAGTCGGAATTGAGATTGAACGATATTAACCTGATGGGTTCATTGCTCCACGGTGAATCTAACGCGGAAGTACACATCTCCAGTATGACACCCTCCATTCACATTCATGTGGCCATTCTCGTGTGTGACACGCCTATTCAGCCTGTTCTCACAAAGTATGGCGACTACTTCGCAATGTTCCAAGCCCTTTTGAGGCAAGCCTTCAAAGGCTTGGGAATATCCGACAAGTCCAAAGACATTACGGTCGAATTCAGTGAACATCAGATGGTGGACAATAGCCGATTTCTTGATCTTGAGAACGTCGACGCCGTTCTTCTGACTGGAAGCAGTATGACACCATCCATTTCAATACATGAATGGGGCAGCTAATATTACTTGGTAGAACACGACGCCTGGGCTGACGATCAGTGGATCCGTGATCTCACGAGCAACGTTCGTGAGGCTGTCTTAAAACACAAGAAGCCCGTGGTTGGGATTTGCTTCGGGCATCAGATACTTGCTCGGGCACTTGGAGCTCGAGTTGGCAGAAACGAGGCTGGGTGGGAGGTTTCTGTCGAGAAGCTCACCCTGACTGAGGCGGGGAAGAAACTGTTTGGAAAAGATACACTGGCAAGTGAAGAGACACCCGAACAAGCTCAATTGAGGGGGATTCTGATTGAATACAGAACATCCAACAAATGCACCGGGATATTGTCTTTGATGCTCCAGCTGATTGCACGAATCTGGCTACAAGTCCAAACTGTGAAGTTCAGGGTCTCTACTTGCCCAAGCGAGTGCTATCGGTACAAGGACATCCGGAATACAATGAAGGTATTATGTCATGTCTGCTCGAAGCTAGACATGAGAATGGGTTGTTTGATGATGAACTGTATAACGATGGGTTGTCCCGAGTGGGCGATTCCCATGATGGGTGGTTGATAGCAAAGGTAATTGCAAGATTCATATTAGACGCGAGGATCAAGTAGTTTGAGCAGATACAGAATCAAGAGACATAAAGATTAAAAGTGGAATAATAGAAAACGATAAACTGTCAGATCTGCAACCGCGCAACCGGCTCCGCGCTATAAAGTCCACCTCTCCCACCTTTGGGATTCCACTTTTCCCAGACCAGATACACAACCTACATTATGTCAAACCAAATTCGTACCATTTGCCCCTCAACTCACCAGGTCATTTTTGATCAGCCTGGAACTTCGCTCAAGGAAGCTGCCAAAGTTGCTGCTGCCTCGAAGCAAGCCTTTGAGTCCTACAGAACAACTGCTCTGGAGGATCGGAAGAGCATTGTGAAACGAGCACTGGACATTATTGAGCAGCGCCGCGATGATCTGGCTAGAGAACTGACTGCACAAATGGGGCGACCCATCCGGTACTGTGCATCAGAGATCAACACCATGCGTCTGCGCGCTGAGTTCTTGATGGATATTGCGGAAGAGAGCCTGTCCGATCTCCCCGGTCGACCAGAAGCTGGCTTCCGGCGAACGGTCAAGCGTGTTCCCGTGGGACCAGTGCTTGTTGCGAGTGCTTGGAATGTGAGTTAGCACTGCTATTGAAGTATCCTCAGGCTTGCTAATGAATATGATAGTATCCTTACCTGACTACTGTCAATGCCCTTGTCCCGGCACTTCTTGCTGGTAACAGCGTTATCCTGCGCCCTTCGCCCCAGACCCCGCTATTTGGAAATAGGCTGCTCGAGGTCTTTACTGAGGCAGGGCTTCCGCCTCAGGTCCTTCAGGTCATTCATATTGGCAACCTGGATGTCTTGGATCAAGTGGCACAGATTCCCGAGATCCAATCTGTCTCATTTACCGGATCAACTGCAGGTGGAATCAGACTCAGGGAGGCCACCACCCAGCACATCAAGCCCGTCAACCTCGAGCTCGGTGGAAACGATCCCGCATATGTTCGGCTAGATGCCGACGTGAAGCACGTTGCGGAGCAACTCGTGGACGGAGCTGTTTTCAATTCTGGACAGAGTTGCTGTTCCATAGAGCGGGTATACGTGCATGAGAAAATCTACGACGACTTCGTTTGCGCTGTGCAGGAGGAGCTGAAATCGTGAGGTTGATTACATTAGAAAAAAGGATGTGTCTCTGACATTCAAATCAGGTATAAACTCGGTGATCCGAAGGATCAAAGCACGACAACAGGCCCTGTCGTCTCAACGCAGGCCATGGAGAAGATCGCTGCTCATGTCAAGGATGCAATTGCTAAAGGAGCTGTCAACTCTACTCCTCAGAATCTAAGCTTTGAGGTGGCAAGCAACCCTCAGATCCAAAAAGGGAACTTTGTCTCTCCGGTTGTGTTGACCAACGTCAACCATACCATGGCTACGATGAAGGAGGAGACTTTCGGTCCTGTGATGCCAATAATGAAGGTCTCCAGTGATGATGAAGCTATTGCATTGATGAATGACAGTGATTATGGTCTGACAGCGAGCGTTTGGACGAAGGATATCACCCGCGGAGAGGAATTGATCGATCGCATCGAGGCCGGTACAGTGTTCATTAACCGCTGTGACTATCCAAGCCCGGTAAGACATTTTTTTCAATATCTGGATCGACTTGTTACTGGTTCGTCAATGCTAATACTGCATATTAGGACCTTGCCTGGACCGGCTGGAAGACATCAGGTCTGGGATGCACCCTTGGGCCACGGGGATACGATGGATTCGTGAAGCTGAAGAGTTACCACATCAAGGATAGCTCGGCATGAGTAGATCGTTTTGAAAGTAGTTAAATAGTGTTATCGTTTGGAACAATTCAAGAAATTTCAATACTGTTAGTCTCATTCAACTATTCAACTGTCCGAGCATGTCTCCTACAACTTTAACTCAGAGCCATGAAGACAACCCACAATAGCCAACTCAGGAATTTGCAATTGAGGTACTACAGATGAGCCCTACGAACATCCATGGATATCTGCATACTCTCCAACATATTGTATGAAGCTCCTCCAAGTAGCCCCACTATAGCGCGGTCCGGGACCGCGCTGCCTTAACCCCGAGACCCCACCAAACATACATACATTGTATGTAGTCAACGATACCGGAAAATGCTTCATGCACCTGAATGGTAGAAGATCTACCTAGCAGCTACCCCTCATGCCCCGCATCTTGAACTCACCGCGCCGTCGGGTGGGGTAGTAGGAGCGCGATGGAGCTTTGAACTCATACCATATTTTGTTGGATTGAGATGATTTGGAAAGGAGAAACGCGGAGAATATAGCGCGTTGGCTCCGTGGTAGGGTCTAATTTACCATGTGGGCTGGATATTGGGGATGGGAAATGGTATAAATTCAGACCTTTACCAAAGGCTTACCCTCTGCAGTCTTTCTTATTCATTCTTGTCGACTACTCAAAACTATTCCAGAAACTGTTCGGATTTCTCCATAATTTCTTCTATAATATCACACACGATATCAAAATGGTCGGACGTCTTGAAGGCAAGAATGCGCTCGTCACCGGCGCAGCTGGGTACGTACCTCTATCCACCCATGACAAACCAAACAATAAAAGACACACCTAACAAAAGCAGAGGCATTGGCCTTGAAACCGCAATCCTCATGCTCCGTGAAGGCGCCTCCGTCCTAATGGCCGACATTAGTGACGCAGGCCTGAACAAAGCCTTGTCCAAGGTGAACAGTGTCGTGCCCGCCTCAACCCGCACCGGAAAAGTCGAAACTAAAGTCGTGGACGTGTCAAACGAGTCCCAAATCGAAGCAGCAGTCGCTCATCTGGATCCCTGGGGTGGACTAGATATCATCTTCAATAATGCTGGGATCATGCACCCTAAGGACGGAGATTCGGAAGAGTGTCCCGAGGATATCTGGGATCGTACAATGAACATCAATGTGAAGGGCGTGTGGTACGGCTCGAAGCATGCTGTGCGCGCATTCCGGAGGCATGGCAAGAAGCGCGCTAGCGTGATCAATACTGCTAGTATGGTTGCGCTGGTTGGGGCTGCGACGCCGCAGTTGGCGTATACCGCTAGCAAGGGTGCTGTATTGGCAATGACCCGGGAGCTGGCTATTGTCCATGCCCGCGAAGGGTTCCGATTCAACTCGCTCTGTCCTGCACCTCTCAAGTATGTTGATATTTTGCTTTTTCCCCGTTTAAAACCTTTGATGGAACTGACATTCAAATAGCACGCCTCTATTGCAGGATTGGCTTGGCGACGATAAGGAAAAGCGCTTCCGTCGTGAGGTGCATTTCCCTACTGGTCGGTTTGGCGAGGCAGTTGAACAGGCCCATGCGGTGATCTTCCTTGCTAGTGACGAGAGCAGCTTTGTGAATGCTACTGACTTCGTCGTCGATGGTGGCTTGACAAAGGCATATGTTACGCCTGAGGGTCCGGCGACGGAAGCACCGAAGAACTTGGCTGCATGAATGGATGGCGACTTTGCTAGTTTTTTTACATAATATGAGTAACAGAATGACAATACATCACGCAAACGAGATCCATATTTGGTTTTGCTGCATTGCTCGACAAATATTCCATGGCCCGGCCTCGGACGCAGGTGATTGCCACATTGCTTCGAGGAGTAGAAGTGTTCGGTGCATATTTCCAAGACCAAATGTCTCCGTCATGGCATTCAATCGTCCTCGTAGGCAGTCCTGTTGGTCAGCATTGAGAAGGCATGAACCCACCACAGCGATCGGCCAACAGAGGCCAGAGTTGATGCGCGCACTGGAGGACAGCTCACACAGGTATGACATCGCTTCTGTCACTGCATTTTCCACCATGCCTTTATACATTCCATCACTGGTGTATTGGAAGCCACCTAGGGAGGTGTATAGATAGACGAGTATGGCTTCTTGGAAGATTAACCCAGCCAGACGGACCTCCGTCCCGACGTTGGGATAAGGCGACCACCGTAGAATCTGGGCTTGGATGGATGCAAACATGGCAATATCATCAGCTGTTGGAACGACCGCTTGTGTATCATCCATGATCCACTGTCGGCCGAGATCGAAGATACACGGGATCAGCAGCAATAGTTCCAGCCAGCAACCGCACAAGTTGCCCACATACTGGGTCCGAAGCAATTCGCGCGACCGTTGTTCAAGATCCAAGTTTAAGAAGAGCTGCCCGCTAAAGCGAGCATCGATTGAGATCATACTGACGGTCGCAGTATAGGTGTAGTATTCGATGACGAAATCTTTCAAGTCTCTTGGAACTGCCGAGTCGCTCTGCGCAAGCAATTTGACCAAGAGCGAGTTTGCGGCGGATAAGTGGTCGAATATTGTCCCGTTCATATCACCCTTTGCTGTCTGGTTTCGTTAGATTGTTGAAAGCATTATTTTCGAATCATGGATTTCCTACCTCGGTAAAACACATCAGAAGTGCCCCAACGAGGAGCATTAGAGGGTTCGATTCTTTCCCGTCGATAAAATCCGTTACTCCACGACGGAAATGCTGGAGGGCTTTTGTGTAGTGGTTGTGGGCAATTGTATCTGATTCGTCCCGTGATCGAAATGCGCGGTGAGCGGCGCTTTGAGTGATTACCAGCTGCAACAACAAGTCGCTAGAAAATGCCAGGGGTACAATCTGTACAAGGAAGGGATTGACAGGCGTGGAGCCATTTGCCATGCAGTCGGCTGTTGTGGCCAGGTAATGACTGAGAAGCTGATAAGACTCGGCATCATAGCCAGGCAGCAAGGATAGGCTGCGCGGCAGCACGTTTCCCATTGAGGCAGATGTGACAAGAGCATCACTGGTAGTGGTAGTTCCGGTAGCTGTTGACAGTCGGCGTTGATTATGGGTCTCCTCATGCAGCGTCGTGTCTTCAAAGTAGTCTCCAATAGTCACTGAGTGCCCTGCACTTGATGAAACAGATGGCGCTCGTTGCGATAAGGGACTCCTAGGCATCGATATTTCATCGAGCTGCTCAATGGCATCGAAAATATTCGGTTGGCACTCATCTGTCGCAGATGCTTGAGTTTCGCGCTCGTGGCTAGGATCTCTCTTGCCAGGTGCATCTGGGGGCCACTGGCAGACCAGGTCATTGCGCTGACAGCCAGCACAGATTGGACGTGTCTCGTCGCATTTCTTCTTGCGACGCCTGCAGGTCAAACAACCAGTTCTTACTCGGACGATTCGCTGCACACGTCGATCTGGCGGCATCTTTGATTTAAGGAGAACAAAAGAAGGCAGGACATTAGGGGATCTCAGCGCAGATCGTATCTCTGCAGAGCTGATAAGAAAGTGTGGGGTAACCTTGGCGCTCCCGATGCGGCCAAGGTACTTTGATATGTTTAAGGTGAGGTGTACACAAATAAAACATTATCTTGATGATGTCTTTTTAATAATTTAAGCTCTCTGATTGTGTATATCAAGGTTCGTTCAGCAGCAAATGATCCACCGCCACAACCGCAGTGTTGCATTATCTCGATAGCCCTGGACCTCAGCTTCCTCATGCTGCAACGATAGCAAGGAGACTAATCAGTACACGATCAGATCCGCCATGTGAGCGTGAGATGGTCCTCGTAGTCTGATTTGGACGTATCCATATTTGAAGTTGCATTTCGACAGCCAGGCAGCAAATTTGAGGCTCGACGGATACTTCATTGCATATATATGTGCTTCTCTAGGCCGGCATATCAGATTAACACTATTCAGGGTGTCATTGACCGTCATCACTCTGAGGTGTTAGTAAAACAGTGCAAAGCCCCCTTGGCTCAGTGTTGATGGACTCGGGAATGTTTTGTTTAAATATTGGTTATTGCACCGAGTCAAATGGAATACTGCGTAGTTCATGTCAGCTCAGTACTACAGCTGGTTTCATTGGCTGTGTTGTGCATTTAGTTCTCTCAGAAAAGAATGAATACCAAAACAAGAAAGAAGCAATCGGGCATCAGCCATGCCGTACAAGCGGCAGTCTGGACTAATTGCAACATAAATCGGACCACCGCGAACGATCGGACATCCGAAGAAATACTCGCATACTTGCCACCAACGTCGGCAGAAAATGTCCGAGCGAGTTGAGGCTACATGATCCCGGGGACAGCACTCTGCATGTAGCGGACATGAACAACATGAGCGTCAGCCACTAAAAAATATCCCGGAACCGGGAGAACCCTGTACCGGTCTCCCAAAGTGACATGGTATTGGCGATCAGCCATTGCACGTGACCCATGTGCCGAAGACCCGACAATCGCTTCTCTCCGCATGGGAACTGCCATAATGACAACTGAAGACGGCTCAGGCCGCCGTTATTCAGGAAAATTTGTGATAAATAGAGGGGCAAATGGGGTCTGGCCAGGGGTCACTCTCGTGTCAAGCTTAAGTACCAGCCAATCACTTTGCCCAATATTGCAAATTGGAGAGCTGTGGGTTTTCTTCTGGCGGTGTTAAGGTCCTTTATGCTTTATCGCCGTTCACAATAGTTGGAATATCCGTCTGTCTGCCTGATGTGTTTTTCTGTGCATATTGATTTGATATAAAAACAGTTGCCCGCTGTTGAGGACTGGTTCGCTTTTTATTCGAGAGAATCAGTGTCGTGTGCCAATTTAGTTGGCTTTATATATATAATTTTCCATTCCTTTCCCCAATTATTGTCGATTGATTCTCCGTAGGAGCATCGATCATGTCGGACCATAAAGAATCTGGCTCGACCAGATCTCAGTCGGCATCAATATCCAGTACCGATTCCGAGTTTCAGGCATCAAGAACCCAGTCACGATCTCAGAGCTTGGCTGGTTCTCTGAGGACGAGGCTCCGGTCTTTGTCAAATCCAGGAATAACCCAGGCGGATCGAGTTTATTCGGGACGACATCTCAATGACCAGTCTGTATACCACGGCGATGATGGGTCCAACTATGGTGAAACGTTTATCGAAAACGATACTATCCAGGAAGTGCGGAACGGGATTGTAAACGAGCGCGATCTGGACCTAGGAAAAGCCGATGCTGCACACCCCGAACTTGAGAAATCGAGGACAACAAAGTCGAACCGGTCTCCTCACGACCCAAAACTGGTAGGTTGTTCCACGTTCCCACATCTGCACTAGGTATTAAGTCGTACAGGTAAAATGGGACGGTCCTGAAGACCCCGAAAACCCGAAAAACTGGAGCAACAGGAAGAAATGGGCTGCTACCATCACCGTATCACTATTCACATTCATCTCACCAGTCTCTTCGTCAATGGTTGCACCGGCACTGCCATCACTGGCAGCGGACCTCAAAGTCACGGATGAGATAGTCTTACAACTTATGCTCTCAATCTTCGTTCTGGCCTACGCTGTTGGCCCATTATTCCTCGGTCCTTTGTCAGAGATCTACGGCCGAACCATCGTTCTGCAACTCGCCAACCTCTTCTTCCTAGTCTTCAACATCGGGTGTGCGGTATCACAAACGAAAGTCCAAATGATTGTCTGCCGATTCTTCGCTGGACTAGGAGGCAGTGCCCCGCTAGCAGTAAGCCAAGCCGCAAAACTGCCCCAATGAAAAGCTTATATCTAACCGCATCTAGATTGGCGGCGGGGTCCTTTCAGATTGCTTCCGGGCTGAAGAGCGCGGAAAGGGAGTCGCAATCTACAGTCTTGCACCACTCCTAGGCCCAGCCCTTGGCCCCATCGCAGGAGGCTTCATTGCCGAAAACACAACCTGGCGCTGGGTGTTCTATTCAACCTCAATAACTGACGGCCTAATCCAAGTAATGGGCCTCTTCTTCCTACGCGAGAGCTACGGCCCAAAAATCCTCCTCGACCGCGCTGTCCGCCTGCGCAAAGAAACAGGCGACGATTCTTACCAAACCGAAGCAGAGCGCCAAAATAAGACCCTGCCCGAAGTCCTGCGGAGCTCACTCATCCGTCCCTTCCGCCTCCTCCTCACTCAGCCAATCGTCCAAGTCCTTGCCCTATTCATGGCCTACATTTATGGAATTATGTACCTCGTCCTCTCAACATTCCCTACCCTCTGGACAAGCCCGAATTACTATAACGAATCAACCGGAATCGGCGGCCTGAACTACATCTCTCTCGGACTAGGCTTTTGGCTCGGCTCACAGATTTGCGCCCCGCTAAACGACCGCATCTACCGCCGTCTCAAGGCCCGCAATGCCGATGTCGGAAAACCAGAGTTTCGCGTCCCGCTGCTCTTCGTCGGCGCCTTCTTTATCCCAGCTGGCTTGTTCATCTACGGCTGGACCGCTCAGTACCACTGCCATTGGATCGCGCCGAACATCGGTGCTGTACTGTTTGGTACTGGCAGCATTATTGCTTTCCAGTGTATCCAGACTTATATGGTTGATACCTATACACGGTTTGCGGCTAGTGCGCTTGCTGCTGGTGCATTTCTGCGCTCGATAGCTGGGTTTGGGTTTCCACTTTTTGCACCATATATGTATAGTTCTTTGGACTATGGATGGGGGAACAGTTTGTTGGCGTTCGTGGCTATTGCAATGGGAGTGCCGGCGCCAGTGTTTTTGTGGAAATTCGGGGAGACGTTGAGAAAAAAGAGTACTTTTGCGGCTGGCTAGGTCAGGCGTATGGGTGTCGATGTTCTGTCACCTGACACCTTAGCTGAAAGTTATGAATACAAGGGGTATATAATGAAGACAACTCCCTACAACCTCCTGCTCCATTCCTAAATCCAGAATATCAAACAAAGCGACCTGTGCCCTGTGCCCACCATGGCTACGAGTGATGTGTACTCTTTTGACCAAGAAATTGCTGATTTCTTCGAGGAGACTGCAGCGACTCGCTCAACGTGTGACACTTGCAAGGGAGCGTCTTGGTGGGAGCACCGTTCCGGTGGCCGTGCAAGGTGTATGCAGCTATACCTTCTATGCCGGACCCAATGCCGAATTCGTCGTTTAGTTTCGGTCTCGCGTCCCTCCAATTGAGGATCAAAATATCTTATTAAGACTGATCGGAGCAACAGTGGCCAATTCGCGGATCGTGAACCAGGTGTGGAGATAGATGTGGGATTTTCAGACTTTACTACCTGGCCTCGGTCATGCACCTTGTTCCAGTCCTAGCACCCTCGCTTGATACACCTGCAAATGTTACTGCAAATGCAATATCTGGCCAGATATTGTATTCAATCCACTTCACGCTTCTGCAAAGGTAACTTTTTCCCAGGTCATGTTGGCATTTTGGCCTAGGATATCTTGTACACAATGGATTATTTATACCAGCCAGCGCGCGAATCCATGGAATGCAATGAATCCCGAGAATGAATTTGGTGTGAATGTAGTTTTTTGTTCGGGCGTGATGAATTATATCTGAAATACTTGAAGGGACCACGAGAACTTGAAAATGTAGCAGGCTAATTCCCATCTCCACCTAATAGCTACTTAAGCCAGACATCAGGGAATGTCTCCAATCTCTGGGGGCCGAACATAATACGCTTCCCAGTCATCCCACTCCCGCATCTTGTGAAATCCTGGCAGCTCTACCCAACGCCAGCACATTTTCATCCAACCCACATCGTTCTGGGTACACCCGTCAAGGGGCTCCTCTGGCTCAGACACATCGCCATTCGCAATATCCTCTTCATCAAGTACGTCTGGTTCCCATTCAGCATAAACCACGCGAACAAATCCTATCTCATCATCCTCGGGGGCGCTCAAAACCGATTCCATAGCTTCCTGGTCCACCATGATGAAAAACCGGTAGCGGCCAGTACATGCATGGTAGTCTTCAGCAACACCCTGTTCCTCTTTCAATGAAGTCTTAGCCCACTGGTTGAAGTGCTCGCGTAGAGTAGCAACTGTCGCTCCCTCGAAGGAGGGGTCTTCCAAGACCGTTGGGGTAAATGTGTCGAGGAGATCAAGGCCACTATAAAACTCAAGGTAATCTGGGACCGCGCTCAGGAAGCGAGCTATGAAATTCTCCCAGTCGGAATTATTTTGGTACGTACATCGATAGATCACAAAGCCCCATTTTTTGAATCCGTCCTTGTCAAGGAGCGCCTCGAGCCGGTCCGCCGCATTCCGACCAGCATCCATCGTGGGATCACGTTTCGAGGGGACCATTGTTGTTGAGAATGTGGTAATAGTATTCCCGAAATGTGGTGGTATATACGCGGGCTTCGCGAGACGTGGAGGGCGGCTAATGGGAGCAGGAGAGCGAATAACACTCGGGCGGGTGGAAAGGGCAAATTGGCTATAAAAGCGTGGAAAACGTGTAGTTCGAAAAAATTTTCTTGTAATCATGGGCGTGAAGGTCCCTGGTTTCTTGTTACGAGGTGACGGGGGAGAGGTAGGAGTGGGAAAGAAAAGCTGGATCAGTTAGGGAGTTGGGCATCGCCTAGGGGCAAGCAGGAAAATTCCAAGGTTGCAGGTTTCAAAGTGGGGATCCAATTATTCTCTCAAACGCTCTAGTTTCTCAAATCTATGCTATCCGTAACACTTTATCGTGGCTGTCCACCGGCACCACGCCGGTTTTGACGTCGGCGAGGAATTCTTTAGCGCTCATGGTGATCTTGCTGATGAGTAAATGATGATGCTCGGAGAATAGAGATGTGAATATCAGATTCTCACTCGGTATGCCGGGATAAGGCGTTTGCGGATGAGGAGGGGGTTGGCAAGGGCGGGAGGGTTGTTTCTGCGGCTGCGGCGGCTGAGATGAGGTGTCATGATGGGAAGGATGAGGTTGTTTGAGCTTCCTCATACTATACTAGAATTCACTTAGATACCGGGCTTCTCTGATGCCTATCGCTAGACTTGAAACTTTGACAGATACCACGTCGAATGCTTAGATCCAGTCACACTACCGCCGTACAAAGCACATCTTTGCTTTACCAAGTCCTCTATAAGACGCTCTGAATGGAATATATCTTCCTAATTGCGGTCTCCAATCCCCAAAGACACCGTTTATCTCCCTTATCGAAAAGCAGTGCTAAGCTATCGAAGCTTTGTCCCAGAGCAATACACCACAGCCTCAAGATGCAACGTCGACTTGTTAAACTCCTGCGTTGACGGCGAAACATATCGCGCCGGTTCTTCGTAAGAAATACTGCATTTCTAATAAGTACAGCACAAGCTTTCTGTCCTGTCCACCACTTCTTGAAGTGTCGTTGCAACCTCGTATCGCTTAAGCGGAATTCCCCCGCCAGTCGGAGTTGATGATGCTTCCGGACAGACGTTCGGAGACGAATACGAGAATCTTCTGTTCGGCTAACTGTACTATTCTAGGCTTAAGAAATACCGTCATACGGAGCATGATTCTATCCGGTAATAGCTGCGGCGCATCGACAAACACTATAAAAACGCATCGAGTCCGCTCGAGACTTCCGAATCACTACGTTCAAGCTCTTCTCCTTATACTTTGCTAACGAATATAATTCTAATCTTTAATCCAGTGTACAACTACTACTTGAATATGGCAATCCCATCAAACCACCCCAAAGTAACCCTCTACTGGTAAGACCCCTTCCACCCAACCCCTTACCTCCCCAGTACGTTCCTCATCGCTAACAAAACAAAATTCAGGCTCAACGAATCCCGCGCCCACCGTGTCCTCTGGCTCCTCGAAGAACTCAAAATCCCCTACGAACTAAAAACATTCAAGCGAGGCGCCGACAAACTCGCCCCCAAACCACTCAGAGACATACATCCGCTGGGCAAAGCACCAATCGTCACGATCGAAACACCAAATTTAGATTCGGATTCACCGTTGGTGCTAGCTGAGTCGGCGTTTATCGTTGAGTATTTCCTTGATCATTTTGGTGGGAGTCATCTTATCCCGAAACGCTGGAAGGATGGGCAAGAAGGAAAGGTTGGTGGTGAGAGCGAGGAGTGGTTGCGGTATCGGTATTATCTGCACTATACGGAGGGGAGTCTGATGCCGAATTTGGTTATGAAGGTTGTTACGAATGGTCAGTTCTTCCCATTTCTATCACTCGTTCTTCATACTCGTCTGTCGCGTGTTGTAAAGCACCAGTGCTAACAGCAGCCAGTCCTCCGAACCGCCCCACCACTCATCGTCAGAGGGATCTTCAGCTTCGTCGCCTCCAAAATCGAAGAAAATTTCCTTACCCGCAACTTTGCAGACCATTTCGATTTTCTAGAGAACCAGCTACGCACGGCGCCTGGCGGCGGGATATATCTTACAGGGCCGCAGCTTACGGCGGCGGATATCATGATGAGTTATCCGGTTATTGAAAGTATGACGAGGGTTATCGGTGTGCAGAGGGGGTTTGAGAGGGATAAGTATCCACGAATCAAAGCTTATGCGGAGAAGTTGCAGGAGAGTGATGGGTATAAGAGGGCTGTTGGGAAGATTGTGGAGGTTACGGGGGAGTTTGTGGCTTGTTGATTTAGTAGGAGTGGTTGTTGCGGGTCTGGGGGTGGGGTATAGGGAGGTTCTTGGTGGTTTGTAATTATATAAGAACAGTTGAGGTTCTTAGCTTTCATGGTCGACGATGTGGTGTAGTACTACCGCATTTGAGCCAGCCTAGTTCCAGGGCATGTGTAAACATCAGCTCCATATATAATGACAGCACCGTTAATGTCTCCGGCTACTTGGGGTTACCTCGGTGGATTTCATACAGCGCCAGTATGTTGACAGGGCTGAGCCTCGACGTTACTCTGCAATAACCAAGAGCACTTTGCGTACAGTGGTTGCCAACGCTTTTGCTTCATCTATATTTTAAGAGAGAAAAAAGAATGGCAAGCGGTAGTGTCAGCGCGCATCGAACCAGCAAAAATACAGCAAAAATACCTACGCAAGGTCCACAGTCCTCAGCTCTCGTTTCTCCCCCCTCATCGCCTCACCATGCATAATCCCATGCACGTAAGTCTCCGAAATAAAAACACTCTCTTCAGAACCCGGAACCTTTCTGAGATATACGGCGTTCTCGCCCCAGCAACAACCCAGACCTCGTCACCTAGTTGCATCGGAACGAGTCCAAGTCCCAAATACCCGTTGCGAGTGGTATATGGGAATCGCACAGTACAGTAGCGCCGGGCAAGGGCTACGAATTGTTCCGCGCTTAGGGAGGCCTTAGCGTTGTGTTCTGGACACTGGGTGTCGATGATATTGGTGATTTCGTAGCTAGGGCCACGACACTTGCTAGGGCCACGGCACTCGCCACCTATATCGACGACGACCAACATATCGGCAATGCAATCAAGGCTATACTCTGCTGCACTCCGATTGTAGAAGGGAGGAATCACCTGTCTAGCTTTCCCCACCTCAACAGGAATAAAACTGCCCATGAGACCGACCGCCTCCAGTAGGCGTCTTTAAAGAAGAGAAAGGAAAAGTCTCTCAGAAAGTGGCGACGGCTTTTACCCTGACAGGTACTGATGAAATGAGTCACTCAGTAGCTTTATTTAGTGCTGTCAGCCATGTGGATCTCACCGTTCGAGTGTAATTATTGGCTTGCTCTGATGGCCTTTCTTTCCCAGGTTCGACCCAATGAATGACGGACCTACTTGTTTCGCCCCCGATGGTTAAACATGGTTGAACAGATTCCAGGTTCTCCAAGCTTTTCATGTTAGTTCAATTCTTATTATGTAATTCACAAATCAGTAAACCACATAAGAAGTAGTTCTTAAGAAGGTGGTTTTTTTGGGAAGCTTCCCTCCGGACAACATAGCTCCTACTTTCAAGAACCTCTTAAGTTGAGCTACACATACTTAGACCAGACCTGGTTCATATCTCCACGGGGCTCTTAGTAAGGATTTCTGTTGTAGGCTTTCTATCTATGTTAGCCTGCAGGCGCTGGATTTGTGGCATGTGCAAATCATAAGCCGCTCGAGACACCAGTTGGGTGCCTGGCGGCCCGGCTGGCTTTTAGTCCACGGCTCATAAGCTGGCATGGATGACGGTCAGGGTCCCGTGACCTGACACGGCTTGCGACCATCAGGGGCTTTCAATCTCTAGGGACCGTGAGCCACTAACCTAGGACGGCTTGCTGTCTATTCGGGCCATCTAGCTAAGGCTTATAAGATGATTTTCTCGAGAATGCTACAAACAATGGATAAGCCATCGAGGATGACATTTTGTAGTGATTTCAATAAATGGGTGGTCGGTAGACTAATAGGGTCGCAATAACGTAGGCAAACGACCGTAGGGGTCTTGCACCTGCCGTGGGCGCCAGTTGACGGTCCCCCGCCTGTGGTGGTCGTACGACCACCATCTCTCGACCACGTCGGACTAAAGCGCAGGGTCTAGCGTTTCTAGTGCTATGTCACTAGGCCTACGCACCTAACCTTACTACCCCGGTCATCAGTATCTGGGCCTACCACTGTGGGCCTCTGTTCCACCCCCTCCGACCTTCTAGGTGATCAGACCACAAGCCTACATTTGATTTTGGCTTAGAACCCCGGCCAGTTCTCCTACAAGGGCTTCAGGCCAGATCAGTTGTGTGGCTTGCGGCATAGGGGATATTCTATCCTGGGATACACCTTATCCTGGGATATACTGTCCTGGGATAAAGTATGTACTGGAATTCTTTGGGTTCTAGGATGACTGTACCCGGTTCTTCTACGGCGCCAGAATACTTGATTCTGGAATTCATGATTCCAGGATTATTCTGATCCCAAGAATGATATAACCAGGATAGATTTGTTGCTTAGAAAGCTGCTCTGGTTATTAATTCTTAACTAGGATGGATGGACTACATCAATGCTCCTAAGATCTCCTCATTCATCTTACTGGGACTTGATTGATGGCCATCTGAGGCTCAAGGGCTGTCCTTTTTTATCGATTATTCAAGATAATAAATACGAACCGTCATGCGAATGCCCTGAAGTGGGTGTTCACTGCGGACAATCAAAGCCAGAAGTGCGCTGCAGACGCTACTGTTTCTGTCATCTGTGTTGAGATCGAATCTTGGAAACGCAGCGGCCTTTGGCAGCATGGGCGCTGAAGCGCTGAAATGGGCATCATGTGTTAACCAATAGAAATGCGTACGTTGTAACCGGCGTAGCTCAATGAGGGAGAAGGCGGGGGCCCCTTGCTCCTGGCGGTGGTAAGATAGAAAGGTGCGATTATATCGAGATCCAGACCACGCGAAACCAAATGATCGCGCAATTATCGCGAGATCAGATGGTACGAACTTCGGCGAAGTTTATTTTGCGCTCTTTGGCCTTGTCTAATGCTAAGTCTTCCTGTTCACAAATATATAGACTAACCGTCCTTAAATGGCTTTATCCATTCACCAGATCTCTATCTCCACTCCTATTGATGTTTTGAAGAGGGCCAGGAAGGATCTCCGAAAACATATTAAAGCACGCGCGAGGTTTGGCTGCAATTTGGATGTCTTCACCAGTCTCCTGTGACTGCCGTCCATCCCTCTGACTGCTGTCTATTGACTGACTAGGATTGTAATATGAAGTTGAAGATAGTACTTGAGCTCTCTTTAATGATTATACTATATAGTCGCGTAGGAAAGCTCAAACATTTTCTTGCTTGCGCAAGACTTTCCAAACAAGATCATGCCAAGTAAGGTCATATAATAGATACAACCTTAACAGATAGTTGAACGGAACAGAAGGATATGCTTATTAAATTAGAACAGAAACTGCAACCTCTAACCCTCCAGATGATTGCACGGCTTAGGCTGTGTTGACTCAGTTGTTATCCCGTTCAAAATATGGAATCCGGGCAACGCCAGCGACTGCGCACACGATGTTCATCGATGGTGTGGCGCTGGAAAGCCATTTTATGCAACAATGTCACCTCACACCAATTGCACTTGAGCGGCTCTTCGTTCAAATGAATGGCATCAAAGTGGCGCGTGACACACCCTACGTCATGAAACATGCGACAGCGTTTGCTATCCGGTAGACCCTCATTCGCAAAGAATTGAAAGCAGGCCTCTGGCTATTCAGAACTCTCGATGTATTCCTTGGTAGCACCGACGGCTTTATGCGGACAGAAACAGACTCCACTTCGCATGCGCTGACGCTGTCTTGAACTCGGGCTGCATCCTAGGTTTCAGGTACGGGTTCATCCGACGTAACAGAGTTCGTAGTTTCTCGCTTAGGCCGGCCTCTTAGAGGGCCTCCTTTAAGAACATCCCAATATTGCATTACCGCATCCGCAGCTACATCACGCCGATTCCATTCATCCTCCAGCGAGTTGGAGATCGGGTAGGGCACAAGACATTGCAACAGATGTAGCTGGAGTCGAGGCATAGCATCCTCTAAAGGTTCATCCTCCTCCTCCTTAACTGCAGTGCTAGAGAGCTGCGCCTCAATATCCAGGAATGCCTGCTCTTCATCAAAGTTCTCTCGGATCTGATGCCGCAAAACCCTTAGCAATCGTTTTCGCGTATTTTTTACCTCCTCCTTTTGTCTCCCGATCCGAGGGAGTATCTAGCTGCTAGGTCTTATTATACTGGGCGTAATATTGGGACCTGCAAATTTCCTTTTCGGGTTAGTTTTGCCTTTTGGGCTTAGCACCCCAATACGCCGTCACGTAACCTCCCTTCAATGCCCTCCGACATAAAAAGACCTGTCTTCCCTGCTCTTGCTCCCTTTCTCTCACTTTCCCATTTTTCTGCCTCTCTATCTTGCACTCTCATAACTGCGCCCCTGCAATCTCGCCCTCAGACATGGCAACAAAACATAACTGTGCTTTCACCATTCAAAGCTCCATCTTGGGTCTACCGACCCTCTACAAAACCACTTGAATAAGCAAGCTTTCCAGAGTGAATATCACAGTACTGTTTCAAACTCGCTGTACATATTTAGGAGCACTTAATTACAGCCAGCATGAAAGATGCTTGCGATCCCTGAGAAGGGCACGCGACGTTGGGAACTTTAAACGAAATGGCCACATCTATTTAGTCAAGTGGGCGCGTCAACTTAGCCCCCAGATTACATAGTCCCGGTAATTCCGCCGCTAACTGAGATAAACTGTGCAGTGATCCACCGGCTCTTTTCTGATACTAGCGGAAGCGTAGCATCAGCCAGATCCTCCACAGACCCGAGGCGATTCGCAGCTCGCGTCTGTTCGTACATAGAAAGCTGAAGCGCAGTTGGAGACCCGTCAGGGGCTACCAGATACGCTTTCGACATATCTGTTGGAACTGGACCGGGTGCGAGTGTATTGACGGTAATCCCACGGCTCTTGCCAAGCTGTCCGGCGTTTTGTTAGATGGTTGTAGAGCGTAAAGAGTGGGAAAACACCAAAGAAAGCTTACCTCGCCAGCCCAAAACGTTGTCAGGGCATCCATTGCAGCTTTTGTCGCACCATATACAGGGGGTGGGACCAAAACTTTCGAGGCGATGGAGCCGATGTTGACGATGCGGCCGCCTTGCGGCATTCGACCTACGCCAACAACAGCTTGTGTCATGTAAATCACGTCGAAGACGTTGACGGCGAATTCGTATTCGAGCTGCTCTTCTTTAACCTCCAAGAGAGATGCGTTGCGTGCAGCCGCTGCGTTATTGACTAGAACAAATAGCCAATCAGTCTTGTCCAACTACCCAGAAAGAATATCACGCCGCCCATGACACACTGAGAATATCGATGTGATCGACGCTAAATGCTTTCAGAATTTGCTCAACCATGATCTTCGCAGTATCGTAATTTTCCACTCCTCCTTGTACGACGGTGGTTTTGGTGCCAAACTCTTTATTGATGTCAATCGCTACCTTCTCAGCCCGCGCCTTGGAGCCTTCCGACACATAATGAATTGCTACAGACGCGCCGTTCCGGGCCAAAGCTCTGGCAATAGCGGCACCGATGCCGGTCTCTCTGCCAGAACCTGTAATCAAAGCAGTCTTTCCTGCAAGTGAGAGTGTGTCGGCCGACATATCCAGAAAATTAGCAGAGAAAGCTATCGAAGCAAAGGATCACACAGCTAGTTCCGAACCCGGACTGGCCAAAGCTATGTTTTATATATACGACAGAGTTGACTATATGGAACTGCTAGTATTAATTTTATATATATTAAATAGACGCTATTATAAATAATCAAGTTATAAAAAGCCGGGAAAGCAAAATTGTTCTATCTACGAGGCCCCTGCTCCTGTTGATTATCAATATCACGGGCTATGCTCCGCATTTATTGATCCCCCCACTCAAGTTTTGTTTGCATCATAGTTTGTGCTGTTTGTGTTGATGACCAAGGACCAATCAACGTCCAGAGGTCCAGGCGGGTTGGCTGCATACAGTCGGTGGCTTGTGTTGATAACTAAGGCCTAATATACGCTGATGAAAATCACAAGAGACAATTAACTATCCAGCTTACCAACGTTCGGTCTTCTCGGGTGCCGAACTGAATAATCCATGTCATGATGTTCCCGCCATTGAAGTATACCGGTACTTTTAAGCAGACCAACCCTCGATCCTTGTAGTCTCTGTATCGAACTCTCTTTCTCCCAATCAATCAATCATTCACTCACTCGCCATGTCTCTCAAAAACCTCACTCTATGGACGCTCCGGGGCCACGCCGGCACGCCCAACCCGTGGAAGGTCCTCATGATCCTGGAAGAGCTCGAGGTTCCCTACGAGCCCAAGTCGGTCGATCTCGACGACCTAAAGAAGGAACCCTACGAGTCTATCAATCCTAACGGTCGTGTTCCCGCCCTCGAGGATCCGAATACCGGAATCACCATCTGGGAATCCGGCGCCATTCTCGAGTACCTGGTGGACACATACGACAAGCAACACACCATCAGCTTCACCGCCGGCTCGAAGGAGTACTACGAAAGCAAGCAGTGGCTACACTACCAGATATCCGGCCAGGGACCGTACTTCGGGCAGGCCGCCTGGTTTACGATCTACCACCCCGAGAAGGTGCCCAGTGCGGTCGAGCGCTATGTTAACGAGATCCGTCGTGTTTCGGGCGTGCTCAATCGATCGCTCCAGAACAAGGAGTACCTCGTTGGCGGCAAGTACAGCTATATCGATGCTGCTTTTGTGCCGTGGTTCGAGGTGGCTGCGCTCTTCTGGTCGAACGAAATGGAGCTCGAGCAGAACTTCCCGCATGTTAATTCCTGGTTGAACCGTATCAAGGCTCGCCCGGCTATTGCCAAGACCATTGATGATAAGGCGAAGGCCGCGGCTGCGGAAGGGAAATAAGCAATGTGATGGCAGATAAAACTCCTACACAGAAGGCGAGGTTTTTTTGATTGAATCCAAATACACATATCTTCTATATTTAGATCTACCCATTTCTTAAGCTAGCGTCTTGGTAGTGGGGGGTAGAAAGAATGGAAGAGTGCAAATTGGTGAAGCTGGTTTTGTACTTCTCTGTATGCTCCAGGAAAACTTCAACGTCTATTCTTTTTAATTATCGCTTCTAGGAACATGCTGTCGGCTTCTAGGAGCTAAACGTCCTCCACGAACTGTACCTGTCACTCCCGGGAGCGAGCCAGATCGCTCCTGGCCTCTCTATCTTGGGTTCTGGAGACACAACCACCCGCTCACAGGAGCCTCTGCTACTCTGGGAACTATCAAAACACTTCCCGGGTGGCACAGGTATCGTGCCGGGGAACTCTACGGGGACATGTCAGGGATCCCACTTGACTTCACAGGCCAAAAGGCACAATGTTTGGTCGCTGACCGAACACCTCAAGCCACTATACATGCTGAACTCTGACAGAGCAAGATAATACAGAAGCTCCTATTGCCTTTGTAGACTCCCCATCGCTACATGTAAGGCTGGTAGGAGTACAACTTTTGGGGGGGGGGATCATGATAAGTTTGTGGGTATTGGCTACGGTGACGTTCTTTTTAGCCGTGAGGAATAGCTATTTCGGCCGAAAGCCGATGTGACGTGAATTAGCCTCTCCCAGCAGCACTCAGAGTGCCACTAGTCCAAATCAGGTGCCCAGAGGAAGAGGAAGAACAATTTGTTGTTGCGCCAATTTCCTACGATAGACGTGATCCGACGATCGATTTATTTATGGGAATATCTAGGTGCTAAATCCGTGGTCCTTCTTTATATAATTCGCTTGATCCTCCGAAAGTAGGAATTCGACGTAGTCTTTTTCCGATTATATGTAATACCTGCTCTCTTATATTATCTTCGAAATTTGACGTATTGCGTTTTAGATGAGTGCTCATTTCCGCTAGTAGCGTTTTTAAACAACAGCGATACATTCTAATGTCTTATGCTTGAAATTTGGGGGGAGCCATCCTAGCTCCGAAAGTGTTCCAGTCTGGCTCGGGTTTCCTCGTAGAGAATGGCATCTGTCTAATATTGGTACTCATCAGGCTGAGCAGGGAGCATAGGCGCAGGTGCTATGAGATTAAGCAAAGATTAAGATCAGGATTAAAAGTCTGTATTTTAGAAAATAATCACACTGGGGTCAACTTGCGGGGTTGGAGGACAATAAATAGAGAGAACGTGATCGTGGGAGGACACTGAGAGGGGGGAACGAGAAGCATCTTATAGAACCCCGACTGGGCCAGGCGAAGGTGAGTCTGATTGCTGCAAAGGGGAGCCATTTCGGCGCAGTTTTGGTCGTGAGTGGAAATGAGAACAACTTGCTGAGGCCCAGCGGTAACATCAGCTCAGGAGGATGACTAAGGGCGCTTGGTGGGTGCAGAATAGTGGTGGTCCAGGTGATCGGGCGATCGAGCAGCGGCTTACCGCTGGAAGTTACGGTGGAAAGGCGGCCGTTTCTGGCGCCAGAAGCTGTCATTTTCGGCGTCATTTTCACGGGTCCTTATATTCTATTTGTAAATTAATATTTAATTCCTTTACGATCGCACTAAGAAGTTATGGCGAGTACGGCAGTTCTTTTGGCATGTGTCCAAAATTTGTCGCAATGCCTCGGCTTTCCAGGTTCGGGTTTCAGGCCCTATAATACTTGGTATTCATCTGTTGTTGTATTTGAGATAGGGAATTTATGCCGAAGCACATGCAAATCTTTCTTACTCTGAGACACGGGTATTAATCTCCTAAACTTCCTCCAATCGACGTTCGATCTACAGGGGCTTCCAAGGCACTCCTTAACATCAGTGGAGATGCATCATGCATTTAGACCCATACAAGAAGGCTGAGAAGGAAGGCAGATTGGTAGGGGTAGAAAGTATGTATTTAGATAAATGAAATATAGAGAGAAAAGAAAAAGAGATCGCAAAGCAGACTATCTACATACTAGTCTGCCCGCTTTCCCGTTAGACGGGGGTATAGAGTATCTATGGTCACATGATAATGAGATCCGAGACAAATGATTAGTCCGATTCGCTCCGCGAATGTCAGCCGACATCAACCAAGGGCAACCGATGGCTGGAGCATTTACTCGTCGTGCTTGGCCTCACTGCCGCTGCTCATGGCAGCCTCGGCCTTCTCGGCTTCGGAGTTGACCTGGAGGTCAGGGGTATCGAGACCCAGCTCATTCTGCATCTGGGTAATTTCAGCGATGGAGAGCTTGGGCATCTGCTGTGCGACCTGGTAAGGCCACTTGCCCTCAACGTGGGCCTTGGCGAAGATAATGTCAACCTCCTCGAGATCACGACCGGCGGTCTCACAGTAGAAGAACCAGGCGAAGGGGATGGCGACAAAGTTGACAAGCGCGAAGAAGAGGTAGATACCCCAGTCGGACTGGTTCGAGAACACAGGGGTGAACATGACGACGGCGAAGTTGGTGATCCAGTTCATGCAGGTGGAAGCGGAGGCGGCCTTGGTACGGGTGCGGAGGGGGTTGATCTCCGGGGGGTAGATCCAGGGCAGAGGCAGCGTGGTAAAGGCGAAGAAGCAGATGAACAGGAAGATACCGACGACAGCACCCTTAGCGTTCTGCGCGTTCGATTCGATGAGACAACCCATAGTGATTATGAAACTAAGACCCTGGCCGAGGAAACCAATCAAGAACAGATTACGGCGCCCGACCCTCTCAATCATAAAGAAGGATGGGATGGTAGCGAGAGCATAAACGGTGGCGAACACACCTCCTAGAACCAGGGGAAGCTTGCCATCCATATGCAAGTTCTGCTGGAACAGTAGGGTCGAGTAGTAGATAGCGGCGTTGCAACCCGTGAATTGCTGGAAGAATTGACCAGAGCAACCGATCATCATGCGCTGGAAGTTCTGAGTCTTACCACCAGTGAAGAGAATACCCCAGCTGCTGCCAGCCTCGACACTCTGCATGGCCTTAAGATCAGCCTTCATAAGGTTGAAATCGGCAAGCACATCATCCGCATCGACAGCACTATCGTTGAGCTGGGCAAGAACCTGAAGGGCCTCCTGGTCATGACCCTGCATGACGAACCAACGAGGCGACTCGGGAAGCATAAGAGCACCAACAGTGACGAGGATAGCGAACACAATCTGGAAGGCGACGGGGAAACGCCACTGAACCGAGTTGTCGACATAAGAGAGACCGAAATCAAGCCAGTAGGCGATGAAGGTACCGACGGCGATGATAGCACCCTCGAAGCAGACGAGGAAACCACGGTTGTGAGCGCGCGAACACTCAGACTGCCAAACGGGGATAGTAGCGGTGTCCATGCCATTTCCAAGACCGGAAATGACACGTCCAACAACGAACTGTCCCAGTCCCCAGTGGGGGCCGAAGGCAGCAGTAGAGATAACAGTACCGAGAATCATGAGGAGACCACCGGCCACCAGGAGAGGAGTACGACCAATACGCTGACCGTACATCATAGTGAAGATAGCACCGAAGAAACAACCAAGTTCGTAACAGGCAGTGACCGCACCACGCAGAACGGCGACGTGCTCGGAGTCACCATGGAGAGGGGGAAATTCCTTGGTGAACTGGTCGCCAGAAATGATACCGGACATCAAACCCTGGTCATAACCGAAAAGTGAGAATCCGACAACGGATGTAAAGGTGATGG